CATAACATGTGTCTCTTTTTGTGACTGGATTACCTCACTCAGGATGATTTCTTCTAGTGTTGTCCATTTGCCTGCAAATTTCAAGATTCCATTGTTTTTTTCTGCTGAATAGTACTGCATTGTTTAAATGTTCCATATTTTCTCTATCCACTCTTCATTTGAGGGGCATCTAGGCTGTTCCCAGTTTCTGGCTATTACAAATAATGCTGCTATAAACGTAGTGGAACAGACACTCTTGTTTAAATGGGCATCTTTTGGTTATATGCCTAAGAGTGGAATTGCTGGGTTTTGTGGTAGGCTGATTCCCAATTTCCTGAGGAATCTCCATACTTATTGCCAAAGTGCCTATATGAATTGGCACTCCCACCAGCAGTGAAGGAGTGTTCCCCTTTTTCCACATCCACTCCAGCATAAACTGTCATTGGTGTTTTGATTTTTGCCATTCTGACAGGAGTAAGATGGTATCTCCGATTTGTTTTGATTTCATTTCCCAGATGGCTAGGGATGTCATTAAAATGTTTTAATGATATGCTATATGACTATCTGATACTTCCCTTCATTTCTTGAAAGCAAGTGTTAAGAATCTTGAACTTTCCCAGGTGCAGTAGTTCACACCTTTAATCCCAGTACTCATGAGCCAGAGGCATGTGGATCTCTGTGAGTTTGAGGCCAGCCTGATACACAAAGTGAGTTCCAAGAGAGCCAGCACTGCTCAAAGAAAACTTATCTCAGGAAAAAAAATCTCTCTGACTTTGTAATGTGATTGGTTACTTATTCATTAAAGTCACTCACTCCACACAATTGTTACTAATATTTTAAATTATAACTATTTGACACTTTTGAGTGAGTGCTATAAATTATGGGTATGACTGAAGTTAGGAAATGTGTTATTTTAGGATATATGAGAAGGGAATTGTTGCTGTTGCAATGGGAAAAGAAAAAAGGTCTCTGGCACATTCTCAAAATAATTTGAGAAGTATGAAGATCTGTAAAAGAGTACCTCAAAATTAATGTCTTTAGGACATCATTTTATTTTAACAGTCACAATAAATGATTGCAGGTCCTTGGAACAACATTGCTTCATGCTCATCAAAGTCCCAGAGCTTTTAAAGCAGTGCTTATGCTTCGTGCTGCTGGATTTGGGAAAAGGATGTATGTGTAACAGATTAATGAATATATTTATATAAACATTCTGTGAATAAGAGTGGCTTCAGGGTGAGTGAGCAAGATCCGTTTAAGATCCATGCTAAGAGCATTTGTTATTTTTGTAGAGAACCTGTGTTCAATTTCCATCACCCACATCATGGCTTACAGCTCTCTGATGCAGGGATCTAGCACTCTCTTCTGATTTCCATGGGCACCCGTTCTCCATATTCTGCACAAACATATAGACAATGAAAACCATTTATACACATAATAAAACATAAGCACAATTTTAAAAAGTTTTTATAAAATAAAAAATTTTTGAGAATGTTGAAATATCCTGGTCTCTTTCATTTCTTCAACATTGGATATCTGGCTGTCCTTTCAAAGTATTTCCTAACATTCATACCACAAGGACTTCTGTTTAACTATGTTCACAGCAGCATTGTTTGTAATAGCCAGAACCTGGAAGCAAACTAGATGTCCCAAAACCGAAGAATGGATAAAGAAAACAGTACATTTACACAGTGGAGTACTACTGAGTGGAAAAAGTGACAACTTGAAATTTGCAGGCAAATGGATTACATTAGAAGAAACCATACTGAGTGAGGTAACCCAGACACAGAAAGAAAAACATGGTACATACTCATTCTTAAGTGGATATTAGACATAGAGCTAAGGATAATCAGCCTACAGTCCACAACCACAGAGAAGCTCAGAATAAAGGAGGACCCTAAGGGATACATGCATGGAATCCCTAGAAGGGGAAAGGGACAAGATCCTCTGAGTAAATTGGGAGCAGAGGGGCAAGGAGGGAGGGAGGTAGGAGAAATAGGAAGGGAGAAGGAGGGGAGGGAGGAAACATGAAGGTCGAGTTGGGGGAAGAACAGAGAGCAAGGAAAGAGATACCTTGATAGAGGGAGCCATTATGGGCTTAACGAGAAACCTCCCACTAGAGAAATTGCCAGAAACCACAGGGATGACCTCAGCTAAGAATCTTAGCAATAATGGAGAGGCTACCTTAAATGACTTTCCTCTATAATGAAATTAATGACTGCCTTAAATTCCATCATAGAGCATTCATCCAGTAGCTGATGGAAGCAGAAGAAGAGATTCACAGTTGACCATGGGGAAACCTACAGAAACAGATGAACTGAGCATGTGGGAACACTCGTGAATCCAGACTGAGAGCTGGCAATCAGCATAGGACTGAACCAGCCCCCTTTGATAGTGTGTGTCAGTTGAGGGGCTTGAAAATCTATGGAACCTCTGGCAGTGGAACCAGTATTTATCCCTAGTGCAAGAATGCACTTTGGAAGCCCATTCCTTATGGATGTCTCTCAGCCTAGAAACACAGTCCCAGGTCATGCCCCACATTATGTGACAGACTTTGGTGATCCCACATGGTAAGCCTCACACTCCCTGAGGAGTGGATAGGGTTAAGATGGGGACACGGGGGAGGGTAGCAGGAGGACAGGAGGAAGAGGGAACTGGGATTGGTATGTAAAATATGATTGTTTTTAATTTAAATAAAATTAATTAAAAATTATCAAGAATCTATTGACAAGAATGTGCTGTCTAATATTCCTGTTTTCTTTTTACAGGTGAAAGGCCACCGTTATTGTTTCATGTATGCTTGGTATAATACATAGGACACAATTGTGATCAGATAAGGAGATCTTGAAAAATATACATGTGACATGATCTCAGTATTATAGAAAAGTGCAAAACAGTGTATACAGAAATATGCATAATGGTACACTGTAATGTTAGTCTGTCTTAGAGTAGAAGGCTGCAGAAATCCAAAGTGAGTAATGAGATGACTTTCCAATGGCAGGAATAATAGTCGCAAGGGAATGTTTTCATTACAATTTCATTTCCCTTATGTTTCTTTTTTGTCACCATTAGCATATGCTTCTTTTAAACAGAAAGGATAGTTATCATGGCTAAGTGTATAAGAATTCATAGACAAATGATAGATCACATAATCATGGTAGCAGGATTTACTTAGCAGTTTGTGGATTAATTATGTCCTCTCTCTTGCCTTTTGAAAGACAGTTGGAGCATTTCTACCCTAAAGTCGAAATCTGAGATAAAATAAAAACTGCATGAAAAACATCACAGCAGGCATTCCTTTGAGTATACATATTCTACTATTGGTTCATCATGAGGAAAGATCTCAAGATTAAGGATTAACTTGCTTCTTCAAAGCCTCCACTAGTAAATAACTCTTTAATGGGATGAGTTTAGCCTCTCTCAGCCTATTCCATTCACATGTGACCTATCATTGTTTCCTGATCCAGCTCATAAAGACTAATGACCTACAATGCTTCACTCACTAAACAAGTGAAACTTTGTAACCAAAAAATGTTAAACTACAAATTACAAAGTTTGGTTCATACTTTCCTAGGTAAAAAATTCCATGCAAAACTTTAAGTGCAACAAAATCAAGAATGTGAAGGATCAATTATGGCACAAGGTTCAGAGATATTGCAAAATGATACTGAGTGGGTCCCTGCAGCTCTCATACAGGAAAGCAAACCCTGAAAGAGATAAGAATGAAAACCTGGTGCAGATTGACTTGGTCAACCTGGATCAGACTTTTGGGAGTATAATAACAGTCTGCGTATTCACAATATACTTTGGAAAAAAAGTTTCCTGGTATAATACAATGCACATTACACAAATATGTGCAATTACATCAAAATCCAATTTAGGGTACATGACATTTCCTCAAGAAGATGGCTTTTAGAGATAGGCTAACTTCAACAGAATAAGACCCTAAGGGTCTTGCCTGGGTTTAGTCATACAGACAATGTAAAGGTTATCTGGGCTGTTATCCACCTCTGGTCCTGGTTGTCGGAGCTTGGGGGAACCACTGGTTATAAGGGTCTTTTAGATTACTAACCACATTCAGTCTTGGTTTTAACAGTTTGATATAGCCTGGACTACCAGATAATGTAGCTCACCAGGCAGCTAATCATTTCTGAGTCTCAGCTTTCTAGGTAAAAAGACAGCTTTTACATCGTTCCCACTGGAAATACATCCTGTGTGGTTAATATTCCTGATTTCTCTGGAGCTATGTGGGCACATGCACCTTCTTGCTATGCTCCCAACATGAGAGACCACATTAAGTCAGGATATGCAGAGCTGTCACTTCAGTAACTGATGAAAAGCAAAATGGAAAAAGTTCTTTGGAACTTAGGTAATTTTTAAATGATATTTTTAATGTGTGTTTGAGAGTATGGACACTGTCTGATATTGATCCACAAGTTTCACATTAAATTAGTTTCTTGGAAAAGTTACAAAATAAGATAGAAACAGATAATAGTGGTAATAATAACAATAGTAATAATAATAATAAAAAACATAATGTAGCTTATAAAACAACACTGAGTTTGTATTCAGTCTAAGACACTGAGTTTGTATTCAGTCTAAGACACTATAGATTCATGAGAATCTTGAATAGAAAAGTGTTTCAGTATGATAATAATTCTATACAAATTAATTAGTGTTTTATGTACTTTTTTGAAGTGGAAAATATATAAACAATGTGAAATTAGCAAAACACAGAAACAATGATCAAAACTACCAGCAAGAAAAAAAATATAGTAAGCATTAAACTGTGCCTACATGTTGAAAGACTTAGCAGTGTATGAGACCTGTGGGAAATTTACTGAAACTTGTTTAAATTGACACATTGTGAGACAATCAAAATTAGAGGGAGAAGGTCATCACGTCTGTTCTCATCACTCCTTCACAGAGAAAACCAAATCTATCCGGTTTTAGCTCCTCCCTACCACCCCTCCTCAGATCCTATCTGGATGGTAAAAACACTGATAAGTGGTGCTTCTCACCTCTGTATTTGTAGAGGGTAACTGAATTCAGAAGGGTATCAGGGTCTTGAACATCACCTTGAGACTGCGCTGAATACACAGGCCGCTCTGGTAAAAAAACAAACAAACATGAAAGATTTAACTTATCAGATTTTTGGTTTTGTGAACCATAGACAACTGAAGAGAAGAAATAGTATTCATTGAAATATCCTACATAAAATTGGTCAAGAATAAATATCACAACAACAGATCAATTGAATAATTTTCACAGCCAAGTGTCAACTATATGAGTCCCCATGTCATGTGACTGTACTCTTATACTTACATATTTGCAATTAAAATAAAACAACCTAATAATATGCAGTCTGATTGGTAGCACTTATAGCATTTGTAATAAATGGCAGTGACAGATGACATGAACCAGTATTCTATATTTTATTTAATTGTTTTACAAAGGAGCATGAATTGGATTCCTTTACTCCAGAAATTTTCCATTACATGTCAATACTGTTATAAATATTAAAAATCTTCTGCTATTCTGAACACAGCAACTTGTTTTGTAGCCACCAACTTTTCTTCCCAGAACTTTTAAATGATGTTTCTGTAGGCACATTCATTTTGTTGGACAGTAGGTCGATCCTTAAATACAGGAAGCACTGATGACTGAAAGCTTAATAAAAGGTGCCATTCTGCAATGTGTCTTTAAGGCAAGGAAGAGACCTGAAGTTCTATCAGAACTGTCTTGTTAACTTTTAGTCACTATACTCTTATCTTCACTTTGTGTGGAATAAAAAGAGTTAATGTAAGCTTTATTTTCTAAAAAAGTGGTGAGTGAACATGTGAAGATGGGAAGGTTCCTGGAATTGCACATGTTAAAATAAGCACTCACATATTCTGATCTGAAATGTGAGGACTGGTATGAAACTCACTTGTGTGACTCACCAACAACAAGACCTACCATTAAAAATCGTGAAAATGACAGAAGGAAATCTACTACAGTTGCCTTCTAACCTCCAAACACATGATCTGGCATGTATGCATCAACATTTATGCATATAATGATTGAATACTTTTATAACAAAAGCAAGAGGAAATACCTAAATACTGCTAGCACAACAAAACTACCAGAACCAACATACAATAAAATAATTATGAATATTAATGTTTCTTTTCTCAATGAAAAGACACAGACTATCAGGGTGGATCAATATTTACCTATTGTCAGTCATGAGTATGTTTCCAAGAAATGAAGCTCACCACAAAAGATAGACTCTTCTTTAAATTGGTAGAATGCAAAGGGTATTCCATACAAATGGACAAATTAAGCAGTCAATTCTGTCTGCTCAACAATTTAACCAAAAAGACATCAAACCAAAATAAGTGACAAAAGACAAAGATGTTAACTTCATACTGATGGAAGGAACAATACATAATGAGAATATTACACACACACACACACACTGACATACACAAATATGTATGTATGTATGTATGTATGCATGTATGTGTGTGTTTGTGTGTGTATCCCCAAAAGGAAGAACACCAAACATGCATTAAAGAGTGGAGGCAGCCAAAAGAGTCCTTATGCAGAAAATAATTATTGAGTGAATGCATACAATCAGTTCTCTTATCAGTCACAAGGCCTTCCATTAGCACAGAGCTAGTTGGCCAGCTAAAATGTAACTAACACATTCCCTGAGGGAAATTTGTTGATGTTAATGGCCAACACTGAAAGAGGTATGGGCAGTTTGGTTTGCCAGATGCACTAGCCCCTCCTTGGAGGCTGAGGTAAATAAATGTGGCCACTCTCACAGTGAAGCACTTAAAAAAACAGCAACCAGCTTCAGTGCTTCCGCTAATAAAACGCAGTCCATTATACGAACTGTATTGTCACTAAATCAAAAGCAGGTGGAATAAAACATGAATATCACATGCTTTCTCATATGTATTTCTCTCGACCCCTGCTTGTAAGGTAGTCTGTCTCCAAGGGTTCTCAATGATCTTTAACCATTGTGTGGACTTGCATGTTGCGTTTCATATAACAGGGTCTTGCATCTGTCCTTCCCGTGTCTCTGCAGGGGAACATACATTAAATATTCTGTGGAAGTCAGGATATAGGTTTTGGCTTTGAGATGACTGTTTAAGTCCCTTGAAATGAGCAGGCATTTCATATTCTTGGATGCCACTGAATTCTTTTCAGAACTTTGGGTATGTGTCCATCGAGCTTCCTGTTTTGTCAAAAGCTAGGTGGCCCTGTAAGCACAGAGGTAATTACTTCTTCAAGCATAACTTGGCATGTGGCTTTAAGAACAAGAATGATACCTGCGTTTACGATGACTTTTCACCTTCTAATATTTTTAATAATAGATATGTGAGGATCAAAATTATTTTCTGTCCTGAGAATACATTTTTGATGGTTATTCCCTTGGCTCTAAATGCTTTCATCACTTTTTTTTCTTTTCTTGTCTAAAATCTGCCTTTTAGTTCTTTCGTGTCCCGTTCCCCACCTATGAACTACTCAAGTGCCTTAAATTCATTAACAAATATGTACTCCTAATTTGGCCTGTCTAATTATTTATGATGAAAGCCCAAAATTGAACATATGTATCTCATTATTTATTTATACTGACAGGAAGTGAAAGTGTTTAGTATCCCCTTAGGAATTATGTTTAAAAGGTTTTGGCTGCTCTGCTTCCTCTGGTTGCTCTCTGAATTCTTACATTCACTTCCATTCCTCTAATTTCCATGGTTTCAACCTACTTTTCCTTTTTGTATTCATTCATAAGTCCCTTCATCTAATGATCCGTAAGTGACAATTAAAATGCTGATTTCACTTAAAGAAAAATTCAATATCCTTATTCAGCAGGGATATGCATAGCTAAACTACTATGATAATTCAGCTTACACTAATTATGATGGCCAATATCATTAAAACAATTGACATCACATCCTGGTGAGGAGGTGTTGCAGGAAAAATCCTTATCCATTGCTGGTGGAAAAAAACTTGCATAGTGACTCTGGAAATTTGTGTGGTTTAGCCTTGGGAAACTAGGACTAGATCTACCTCAAGATCCATGTGAACCATTCTTGGCCATATACACAAAGGAATCTAAATCTTGTTACAGAGACACTTGCTCATTCATATTAATGGTTGATTTATTCAGATAAGCTAGAATATAGAAAACAGTCTAGGTGTCCATAAATGGGTGAATGGATAATGAAATATGGTACATTGACACAAAAGAATATTATTTAGATATCAAAAATGATATCATGGAACTCATTGTTAAATGGATGGGAGAATGCTATGGAAGAGTGAATTTTATTAGAAATATTTCCTGAGTAGTAACTTGTTGGTATTTTTGCAACCTAATAATATTTGTGGTGGAAGATGATTATCATTCATGTATCCTGAAGTGATAATGGATGTGTCCTCAGAATGTGATGAAAGTTTGAAGTGTAAAATCCAAAATATATGGATTTTTTTGATCTTTTGAAATTGACTAGCAGATTGATAGAATTACCTGATATATCCTAGGTAAGAAGGAAATATATACATACATACATATGTACATATAAATAAATATAATGCTTCAAGGAATATATATTCTGATTAGCATTACTCCTCTCCCATTTCCGCCAAGACTTTCCACAATTCTGAACCCACTCAAGTTTAGATGCTTGCTTTCTCTCTTAATTTTATTTTTTTAGGAATCAGAATTTTATAGTCTCTGTAAAAACAGGTGAATATAACAAACCAGAGTAAAGAAAACAAAAGTTACACACACACCCCATAAAAATATAAAATAGAAAACCAGAATATGTAAGCAAAACACAAGTAAGACGAAAAATGCTAAACAAAGCAACACCAGAAAAAAAATGGTCAAAAGTACCATTGAGAATATTTTGTGTTTTCTATTCATTGCTGGGAACTGGTTCTACCCGTATGTTTGATTACTGTATCTAGTGAGATGCCATTAGAAAGTTTGTGTCCTTCCTAATCCGCATGAACTAAACCTTTGTTTTTATCCATAACAATACATAATCAGGACTTAGCGTATTGCTCTTCTCATATTAGGATTCTAGGGATGGAGGCACAACGATTGGGAGCCCAAGGCGATCTTCTTACATGGTAAGTTCTAGGCCACACTGTAGTGTATAAGACCCTGCTTAAAAATAAAAAGAAATAATATTGACAGAATGAAGAAATAAAGAGAAAGAATATCTATCACAGGCTGAAAAACTTTTTTTAGTGTAGAAATCAAAATGATTTGAATACAATTATAACAAAAAGTAAAACTATTTTAAAAATTACACATCTATTTATTTTTGTGTACATTTGCAAGTGAATACACACACCTGTGCACACACAAATTCCATGTTCCATGTTTAGAAAAAAACTACTTAAAATAGTAATTTCTGTGCTTTTGTCACATGAACCCCAAGGACTAGATTTAGGTTTACAGACATGGAGCCTAGATGGACTGACCTTTCACTGATATATATATATCAGTGAAATATATAATTAAATTTTGTAAAATATAAAATTTTCAAATTTTTAAAATTTACTTTAGAAATTGCATTTTTTCTACCAAGCAGTAGTGGCACATGACTTTAATCCCAGTACTCGGTATGCAGCAGCACAGGCAGGTGGATCTCTCTGAGTTTGAGTCCAGCCTGGTCTACAGAACAAGTTTCAGGACAACCATGTAGATTACACAAAGTAATCCATCCTCTTACATAAAAAAGAAACCCAACCCCACAAAAAATACATTTTTTTCCATTCCTTCCCCTCAAAATACCTCTCTATACTCTCCTTCAAATTAATGACCCCCCTTTTCCTAATAGTTATTGTGTGCATATATATGAATGTGTATTCATATATATATTCCTAAATATAACCTGTCCTATTTATATAATCTTAATTTTGTGTATAATTTCAGGGCTGACCATTTGGCATCAGTCAACCAATTGTTGTGATCTCCTCTGGGGAAGACCACATGTCATGCTCCCAGCTTCCCACTTTCACTTATAGTCTTTAAGTTATGGGTGAAGCTTGATGGATTTATCCCCATCTAGTCTAAAAATTCACCTGGCAATACACTTGTTCGGAAGAAAGCATATAAAACTAAACAGGTTATTGTAATTGTTCTTGGTTGCCTCTCAACCAAGAAAATGTTAAAGCAACGTGGTTGAGTACATCACATATTTTGTTCACTGGAACTGCAGAAATCAGCCTTGAACTAACATGAAACTCACCTTCTTCAGGGTGATAAATAGTGCTTTTCAGTCTCTGGACAAGAAAAAGGATAGTTTCTTTCTCATCCCTACTTAACAATACATGCTATAATAATGAATAATGACTTGCCAGGTAAAACATATCCACAATGCAATGATGCCAAGACTATTTATGAGAGTAACCAACAACATTCTTGAATGGAATCGAGACCTCCTCCACAGGAGGGTCTTTAGGCTTGTTACAGCAAACAAGATCAAAAATCTTGGCTAGGGAAGGTGTAGTTCCTATCAGGAGACCCACGGATGTTGTTTTTCCAAATGGAATTTTTTTTCAAATTCCCCTTTGAATATTTATGTTTGTGTCCATAGATTTTTTTTGAGACACAGTTTCTTTGTTTAAACCTTGGTGTCCTGGAACTAGCTCTGTCAATCAGGCTAGCCTTGAACTGACAGCCATCTGCCTTTATCTTCCTCCTAGGTTCTAGGATAAAAGGCATGCACCACCACTGTCTGGCATAGACAAAGATCATATGTAAAATGACATTGGCTAATGCTTAGATGAAGAACTACTTAGAGCACTGATAATAAACAACACTGAGTCCTCAGCCATAAATGCAGTGTCTAAAACACTCCCCTACATGTTTCAAAGATATAAGGAAAAAGAGTGGAAAGGAAATGAGAACTGGAGGATGAGGAGGGATACTGAGAAATATTATCCCCTATACACACCCTGGCGATTGCAAACACAACCTCCTCATGTTTTGGTTAGATATACACTCCTCACACAATCAAGTACAAATCCAAGCCAGAAGGATGGAGGGGCCCTTAAAGATTTAACCTTGCTTGGGTGTGATGGCTGCCAGGGATCAATTTTAATTTTTCTTTAGAAATGTGGCAACAAGGTGCTGGAGAGATAGCTCAGTGGTTAGGAACACAGTGTAATCCTCCAGAGGTCTTGGGTTCAATTGCAAGCACTCACATGCCAGTTTACATACGTCTAGTGCTCCAGCTCCAGGGGATTTTGCACCCTCACATTGACATACATGCAGGCAAAACACCTGTGCACTGAAAATAAAAATAAAAAACAAATCATAAAAAATTTGGTGGGGTAGTGGTGGCACACATCTTTCATTCCAGTTCTTAGAAGGAAGAGACAAGTGGATCTTTGTGAGTACTAGGACAGCCTCATCTACAGAGCTAGTTCCTGGACAGGCAGTACTACACATAGAAATCCTGTCTTCGAAAACTAACCAAAAGAAAAGGAAAGAAAAGAATGATATGTAGCCATGAATGCCACCAATAAAGGAACAATCAACATACTGCAATACATAATAAAGGTAACCTCCAAGAAGCTCAGAGCCAGCATCATGCTGAATGAAGAGAAACTCAAAGAATTCACATTAAAATCAGGAGCAGCATAATGATATTCACCTTTCTCCATCACTTTCAGGACAGTATTAAAAGTCTTATGGAAACCAGAAAACTGAAGGATAAACAGGTGATACAAATAGGAGAGGCAGAAGTCAAAGTATCCACATGTGAATAAGATATTATTCTGTCTATACCAGTACCCAATTATGCCGTTAGAAACCTCTTAATGCTGATAAGTACATTCAACAAATTCACAGTGTAATAATTTGACACATAAAATTCACTGGGTTTCCTAAATTACAAACCATTGAGAAAAAAGTCATAGAAATAATATTTACAACATATAAATTATATGTAATGCATTGTGTTATATATTAACAAATTTTGCTACAATATATATGCACAAACATTTACACACATACACACACACAAACCCCTACAAAATACATTCAGAAATATGTTAGTCTGCATTAAAATTTGAAGAAACTGGATAAATAAAGTTAAGAAGAAACCAGAGTCTGAAACGCCTGGCAAGGTCATGGATTGCTAGTGCTATTATTATGAAAGTGGCCATTTTGCCACAAAACAAATTATATGTTCAATGTGATCTTCAACAAAATCCTTCACACATATTTAAAAATATAACTGTAGTTTTATATGGAAATACAAGCATGTGCGCTGCACACACACACACACACACACACACACACACACAAACATCATTCTAGCAAAAAAAGAATAACAAAAAGCAGGAAGTATCATCATCCTAGATTTCACATTATGCTACACAAAAATAGTATGGTATATTAAAACTGTGCTGTATCTCTGCTAATTAGCATTTCTCTGGAAGTAACAACCTTTGGAAAATAACAGAGAAGTGGTTGCATGGGCCACTATGAGAGAGCATTTGGAAGCTTCTTTAAATCTTAAATCTATGCACCATTTTGAAATGCAGAAAAAATACAACTCCAAAATCGAAAAGACACATTCCTATGTTATTATCTGCTGTATATGTCATTTGCATATCTTATAAACCCCATTCAAGTTAGGGGATCAGAAAAAGCAAAATAGGTGACATATCCAAATCGAATATCTTTCAAACCAATAATTATGGTTGGATACAGACAGCTTTACAAAAAAAGAAAAAGAAAAAAAAAGACACTGAAACATGTCCACAATCCTGAAATTAAATAACCTTACAAAACCATAGAAAACTATTTATCATTCAGTATGACTATATAGACTATATAGCAGACTTTCTGTATGTAGAAGACATTCTGCTTCTCCACACATTGGCCATTTTGCAGACACACCCACTCACTTCTGATGGTCACAGGGACACATTCACTTTTTTTCACTCTCATTCTCTCTGTCTCGCTCCAATTTGCTCTGTCCTTTCTTACAACCACTTTGGAAACCCCTTTCCTTTATTGTAACTGTCATAGTGTCAGAAATCATTGTAGCTAAGTCTTCCATTCAGAAACTGGTAGGTCTAAATCATTGTGATCTATTGGACGCTCCCCCACACCCTGCGACTCTGCTCTTAACACTCTATATATTAACTGTCACCTGCTTTCATCCTCTCACACTCTCCAGTGAAAAGAAGACACTGAGTTTAATGTCCATTAGGAAATATATATACCACAGTAGAAGTTCTTTTTGCTTTGGTTAATGCCCTTATTGCCATAAAGGAATAATCCGCAATACTGCCTATGCTTTGAAATGTAAATGCTCACCCACAAAGAGAAATGAACTGCAGTGACAGGTCACATTGAGGGATCAGCGGGAGGAGCACTTTGCAGCAATACAACAGAGGGTAGGACAAAGGAAGCCAGGGCCTAATTGAATAGATTTCTCATTGATTCTTCAAAGGCAAAGGTTTTAGATCTATACAACAATGTTCTATTCCATTCATATTTGCAACCCTTAACATGAAAAAAATTAAGTCTATCAGAGAAAGACACAACAGGGCCCAGATGGAGCTGACCTGGGTGGCTGCGCTGTCTGGCTGACCATTCCTCAGGTGGATGCGGCAGGCATCTTTGGCTCCCTCTCCTCTGAGGAGGATCTGCTGCTGCACTGACGTAAGGCATCACACTCCCAACCCCCATTCTGTGCTAGTGAGCCAGCACAATCCTGCAATCACGCATGCGTTCATGCCTGCCAGGCTGCGGGGATTCAAGAAGCTTTTTTCAACCTAATGACATGAAACAAGAAGCCATGAGCTTTAAGGTATCTTACTGTTAGTATGGTATAGGAGGGACATCACAAAACCTTGTTAAAACTGTCAAGGAACAAATTCAAAACATTTTTTGTGGGCAACGTGTATTGTAAAATCTTAATTAACCCTTGGCTTTCTATATACTGCAGTGAAAGGTTGCTTAGGAAAAATGAAACACAAACTAAAGAAGGGTTGTAAATGCTAAACATTTGAAGCACTGGTAGGAGAAATCACTAATGATTAAAAGATACTATGTTGAAAACATTCTGCATTAATCAGATATTACTTGATTAATTTTAATTTTTAAAATTCCACATATGTTCAGGCAAACTGAAAACCTTACTATGAATATAATCATTGCTGCTATTTTTTATAGAACTGTTGAGTGATATTTCAGTGATGAAATTTCTTTAATAGCGTTCTTAGAAAAACAACATTTGTTAGCATGTGGGCTTTCTGCTTTTATTTATTTATTTGTTATTTACTCTCTTTTGAACTTGATCTCCCTGTTTAGACATGGCTTGTATTTTTTTTAATTCACTTGGTGCATCAGGCTGGCCTTCAAATTCCAACAACCACAGCATCTGCATCCTGAATTCAGGAATTAAAGATACATGAAACATTACTGGTTAGAGTTTACTAATTTTAAATATTTCTGCGTGTGTGTGTGTGTGTGTGTGTGTGTGTGAATGTGTGTTTGTTTGTGTGTGTACGTACATGTGTGAAGAGATACCAGTTTAACTCAGAGGCATTGGATACTCCCAGAGTCAGAGTTACATGCACTTGTGAGGTGACTGCCATGGGTGCTGGGAACCAGGTTCCAGTGTTTCTCCAGCTCTCCCATGCACTTTTACAGCTCGGAAAAGTAGAATATGCAAACAAACAAACAAAATGTTACACAAACTCCTGACTTCTAAGCATGAATACATTACAATTCTGCAATAAGTGTAAATATTTTATTGACCTAATGATATCACTGTCTTCTGATCAAAGACAATAAAACAAGCGAGGCCAAGGAGGAGAAGATCTACAAAAATGAAAATTTGGCTTTAAAAGCAAATTTAAACAGTAATTCTGACTTCATAAACGAGACATAAGGTACTACTTTCAATCTATTCCCCCAGCAAGGCCTAGCAATTCAGTGTGATGAGGAAGATCAAGGAGGGCAACTTCCATTGAAGAGGAAGGGAAGCCCAAGCCTCTGCTTCATTTAACTCTTGTGTTATATCTAGTCACCGTGGGAAAGGTGCCTCTAAGAACCCCTTTAAATGGTGTCTGTGGACTTTGTGGAAGGAGGGACAAAAAATAGCTTCTCTGGCAGCCTAGTGAAGACCAGGTGCCATTCTTCTAAGTCAGAGTTGCACAATCCCCAAAAAAACCTTCACTTATATGGGCAGGGTAGCTGGCTTGCCTCCTGGCCTCACATAATCTGCTCCCTATCCAATACAGTACGTCTTCGAGCTTTCCTAGTCTGGATGAATCTGATACAATGTAGGAATGAGCAGATACATACACTTATATCCCAACTCATGCAATACTGTGAGGAGGGTGCGACTACCTTGAAACCTTCAGTGCTCCTGCAGACAAGTCCTTCTGCAGCTTCTGCCATCTTTGAAGAACTTCAAAACATGAAGATAAGATACAGGTGCCCTCTTAGTTTGTCAAGATATCTTTCACATCTTCATTCCTAACAGCAGGAACATCAGTGAAACTACAATGTGGTTTGAACTTTCTTTGGCACTGTTATCAGGATACTTGAAATCAGATTCTCCATATGACTTGACTGCTTTAATTATTTCTACTTATCACTGGATTTCCTGGAACTTATTCTGTATAATAAACTGTCCTTGAAGTATCAGAGTGCCATCTACTTCTTTCTGCTTGAACTGGGATTAAAGACTGGAGTATGATATCCATCCTGACTTTCAGATTTTATGCGCAAGTCACAAAAGTTAAAGATATAGGCATTATCTAAACAAGAAAACCAAGTCACAATATTTTTTGCAGCCACTAATATTTTGTAGAGTAAGGGGGCATTAGGATTTTGAAAACACCTCAAAAAATACAGGAATTTGTGAATAAAACAACGTGGGTTAACCCTAACAGCAGTGGGAAGACTTTTCCTTGCCAGCAGCTTTGGTTTTATTCGTCAGCTGCCTGGGCTCTGTCGCGTTGCAGTCCCCAAATAACTCACAGGACACCATATTAATAATGAAGCTGTTGGCCATTTGCTTGTTTCTTACTGGATAATTCTGACTTAAATATTTAACCCATCTAAGTATTTCTCTTACTGGACAAGGGGTCTGTTCCTCTTACTTCTATGGTGGCTACATGATGTCTCCCTGTGTTTCTCTTTCCCAGAATCCTCCTCGACTCCTAGTCCCACCTATCTTGCTTCCCTATTGGCCAACAGTGCTTTATTGACATATACACAGGACTTCCCCATCATCTCCTCATTTCTGTCCCTTTTTTTTTGATTTTAGGAGACATGGTTTCTCTGTATTGTTTTGGAGGCTGTTGGTCCAGCCCAGCCTCGAACTCACAGAGATCTGCCTGCCTCTGCCTCCCGAGTGCTGGGATTAAAGGCATGTGCCACCACTGCCCAGTGAAAGGTCTTAATTTTTTTTGGTTTTTTTTTTGAGATAGGGTTTCTCTGTGGCTTTGGAGGCTGTCCTGGAACTTGCTTGGTAGTCCAGGCTGGTCTCGAACTCACAGAGATCCACCTGCCTCTGCCTCATGAGTGCTGGGATTAAAGGCGTGTGCCACCAACGCCCGGCTGAAAGGTCTTAATTTTAACATAGTCAAATTATATATAACAGAACAGCTATCAAGCAAGAACACAGTTACAATACTTTGTCCATCAATGTTCAGCGAGTTTTAAAGAAAATATCATCCATCCCATCCTTGTGAGTCCAAAGTCCTATATGTAGTTTATATTTTATTATAACTAAGGAAAACTATAATTATAATGATTTGTCTTCAACTCCATCAAAGATCACAGAAGGATATTATATAAACTCTAGAATTGATAGAAACATTTAGCTACCTGGACACTAACCTGAAGTTCTTCTGGAATGTTGAGGCATCCATATTCAGCCCATAAGGACACAGTGTGTCCAGAAGACTTCTCAGCAAAGCAGGAAATTTCACGCTGTCCATCTGCATTGGCAGTCTGTCAGTCATTTCTGAGTCCTGCAGAAAGTCTGGCAGACTCTTCCATGAAGCAGGAACCCTGAAGGACTGTTTGAGTTCAGCAGTCACTTCCCTGTGGGTCCTACATGTCAAGTTTACATAGCAACAGTCAAACATTCCAGGCAAATTGTCATATTGAAAGCAAACTCCAAAATGAGTTTCTTTGATGCCCATCTTCCTCTCAGACACAACTGGTGCTGTCAGGAGCAGGCATTTCTCACTATCAAGAAAAACCCTAAACCATTTTAAATGTCATTACTGAAGGTTTTTTAAAGGTTTGAAGACTATCTATCTCAAATATATCTCTGTATATCTAGAAAATCTAGCTAACCTAACTATAAGTTCTTACTATTACAAGTAACTACTGATAGTGTGTATTTGATTATGCATTACATTTTAAAAGATCAGTATAAGCGGAGAGGAGGCTGGGAGTCCAGGGAAGCAGCTGTTCCTCAGGCAGCATCAGGTAAACAGACCAGCTTCCTGGCCTGTGTTCCAGTGCCTGCAGATCGCCTGGGAACTGCACAGAGCTCCCAATCCCGGCGGGAGCCAAGCACCCCAGACTCCAGATCTTCTCTCCCACCATCGAGACCAGGAAACGAGAGGAGCCTGGGAGTCCAGGGAAGTAGCTATCCCTCTGGCAGCATCAGGTAAACAGGCTGGCTTCCCGGCCTGTGTTCCAGTGCCTGCAGATCGCCTGGGAACTGCACAGAGCTCCCAATCCCGGCGGGAGCCAAGCACCCCAGACTCCAGATCTTCTCTCCCACCAACAAGACCAGGAATGGAGAGGAGGCTGGGAGTTCAAAGCAGCTGTTTCTCAGGCAGCATCAGGTAAACAGGCTGGCTTCCCTGCCAGTGTTCCAGTGCCTGCAGATCGCCAGGGAACTGCACAGAGCTCCCAATCCAGGCGGGAGCCAAGCACCACAGATTCCAGATCTTCTCTCCCATCAACGAGACCAGGAAACCAGAGGAGCCAGGGAGACCAGGGGAGTAGCATTTCCGGATCAGGTACAACAGGACCCAGAATAGGGTCCAGGGGACCAGGTAGGAGGCTAAGCGCCCCAGATTCCTGTTATTCTTCTCCACCCACGGGACCAGCATTTGGACAAGGAATAGAAGAACCACCAGATTATTGGACTTGCTAGCACCCACCAAAAGGGATCTCTGGTCCCCAGACCAGTAAGGGGCTCTTTCTGCACCCACTAGAAGAAGAGATGGGAAAGAAACAATACAAAAACATAGTCAGCAACAGAAAAACAAATATGACACCGCCACATTCTAGAGACTCCACACCAGCAAGACCCCAACATTCCAATGCGAACGAAGCAGAAGAGAACGACCTTAAAAGCACTTTCATGAAAATGATAGAGGCCCTAAAAGAGGATATTGGAAAATCCCTCAAAGAAATGGAAGAAAAAACAAACCAAAAAATGAAAGAAATGGAAGAAAAAAACAAACCAAAAAAGGCAGGAAATGGAAGAAGAAATGAAGCAAAAAATGCAAGAAATGGAAGAAAAAACAAACCAAAAAATGCAAGAATTGGAAGAAAAAAACAAACCAAAAAAGGCAGGAAATGGAAGAAGAAATGAAGCAAAAAATGCAAGAAATGGAAGAAAAAGCAAAGCAAAAAATGCAAGAATTGGAAGAAGAAACATACCAAAAAAGGCAGGAAATGGAAGAAGAA